GTGCGTGTGCGTACGTGCGTGTGTGTGCGTGTGTGTGTGTTATGTGTGTGCATCCACACACAAACGGTGTATATCTGCCGACTGTTGGCCAAGACACACGCACAGTCTACATATCAATCTAACCTCTATACACAGAGAGGTTAGATTGACATGTAGACGGTGCGTGTGTCTTGCGTTTTCCGAACTGCGACCAGGTAGACCAGGCTTAAGGTGTGTGCATGCGTGCGTGCGTGCGTGCGTGTGTACTTGCGTGTGCGTGTGCATGTGCGCGCGTGTGCGTATTGATCAGATTCGGTATTTGAACAATGAATATTTATTAAAATTATTAAGAAGAAGGCGGTACACGTTGAAGTATTCGTCTCTTGTGCGGACCGCGAAGGATCGCAAAGTTTTTTCTACATAATTATAGTTTCTTTTACAGAAGAAAGAAGTCTCGGAGCCGATCAAAAATACCTACCTTGCGTACTGGAAATTGAACGGGAAGGAAGACACGAGGAAGTGGATTCTTCGTACATATTTTGTTTCTGATCATTGCGACACACATATTGAGTGAGTTCTTATAATTTATTCTAAGAATTATTAATAGATATCAAAGGTGTGATTGAGAGAGCGAGCGAGCGAGCGAGAGAGAGAGAGAGAGAGAGAGAGAGAGAGAGAGAGAGAGTGTGTGTGTGTGAGTGTGTGTGTGAACTTGCGTGTGCGTGTGCAGTGCTTGCGTGTGCGTATTGATCAGATTCGGTATTCATTGCATAATAATTGAATTTGTACATTTGTGCACTAACAATGAATATTTATTAAAATTATTAAAATTATAAGAGCAAATTTATGTTACGTAGTGTCGTTTTTTAATAAATTTGTATTTCTGTATTCTACTGCAATTTTTTCAGAAAAATTTTTAAAATGAGTACTGCATATTATCGAGTAAAAAAATGCCGTGACTTGAAACGATCAGCTAAAGAAATTATATTATCAAGTAATGCATCAGATGCTAAGCAATGTCGATTCGACGATTCAAATTCTTATGTTAGCGATGACGAAGACTCATCTTTTGACCTGACTAATAGAGCGCCAGATTTTAGCTCGTCAAATTCCCAATCTTCTCCATCTTCTTTATCTTCTCAGCAGTCATGGACTTCAGAAGAAAGCTCTCAAGAAAATGGTAATGATGACTCAACTGTGACAGTAGTTTCTTTTCCAGAAAAATTACAAAACTGGTGTGTAAGATTTAGAAACAGTCTAACAGTTGAGGCAATAGAAGTGCTGCTAGTGCATTTACGAGATGAAAATCTACCGAATTTGCCCAAATCAGCAGCTACCTTATTGCAAACAAAATCTAATCCAAATGTGAAAAGTATGAAATGTTTTAAGAACACAAATGGTTTTTATGTATATTTTGGCATACAAGAAGGATTAAAAGCGATAATCACTGATGAATACACGGAGAGCACTATTAGCTTATTATTTAATATTGATGGCCTCCCATTATATCACGGTTCAAGCGAACAATTTTGGATTAACTCGGGGCTTGTTCTACACAATCAATACGAGTGTCAACCATTTATTGTTGCTGCATGTAGCGGAAATTTGAAGCCACAAAGTGTAGATGAATTTTTACAGAATTTTGTCACTGAAGCAAGCTATTTAGTTCAAAATGTTGCAACTATTGGCCAAAGAGAATTCAAGGTAGAAATTATTGGATTTTTTTGCGATACACCCGCAAGATCGTTTATTAAAAAGTGTAAAGGCCATGGTGGCTTTTATGCTTGTGAGCGATGTGAAACAAGAGGCATAACCAAACATAAGAGAAGAGTTTATCCTAGCATGAATTCTAAACAGCGGACTGACGATTCCTTCAGAAGAGAGCGACAAAAGGAGCATCATTTAGAAAGCAGATCCCCATTGCTGGATATAACACATTTCGACCCTGTCAGATCAGTATTTTTGGATTCTATGCATTTATTTTATTTGGGAAATATGAAGTGGATTTTGGAACAATTGCTTGGAATAAATAAGAAAATCAATCGCAAATGCAAACTTCATACTCGCGATGTAAAACTATTAAATTCCAATTTAAAAATATTGTTGAGATATGTACCTAAAGAGTTTCAAAGAAAAACACTGGATTTAGACGAATTGAATCATTGGAAAGCAACGCAGTATCGTTTTTTTTTTTTTTTTTACATTACTGTGGGGCCCTGGCGTTACGTAATGTTCTATCTAAAAATATGTTTCGACACTTTCTTCTCCTTGTAGTTGCATGTAGAATTCTTTGTAACCCAGATTTATGCTTAAAACATACCAATTATGCCAAAGAATTGTTAAGAAAATTCGTTGAGCTTCTTCCGTCATTTTACGGTCCATATTCACAAGTTATAAACAACCATAACTTAATTCACGTAGCAGATGACGTGGAGTTCACGAAATTGTCTCTGTCCGAGATTTCCGCATTCCCCTTTGAAAACAAGCTTGGTAAAATTAAACGAAAAATTCGAGGAAAGAAAAAACCTGTGGCACAGTTAGTTAGAAGAGAATCCGAAGAAAGAGCATGCCCAATAATAATGAAGAAGAACGCTATTCACAGAAAAAGAGATGTCATAGTTAATCCTGATATTCCAGATGAATATGCAG